GAGAGTGACGCCCGCCGTGTTGGGCGCGATCTGTTTGATGAGGTAGGTGTAGATCTCCGAGTCGGTGATGTCCGATTGGAAATTGTGACACCTTCTCACTATGCCGGCGTTCTCCAAGTGATGGTTCACCCATCTGAGGAGGATCGACTCGGGGGAGAGCTTGAGGAGGTCCTCGATTCGCTCCCCGTCTTGCAACAGGGTGGCGAGGCCTGGACAATTCTCGAGGGTGATCTGGTTGAACAGGCCGATTCGAATGATCTGCCAGAGGAGGCCGAGGACAAGGTGGGGCGAGCCTTTCGTCAGGTCATGGGCGTCTATGTTCACGATGTTGCACCCGATCGCCTGGGCCGACGAGAGAGCCAACGTTAGGTTCTCGTGTTTCTTGTACAGGGTTAGACTCTTCTTGTTGATCGTTCGCTCGTCGATCGTGTCCGGGCAGGAGTGGTTGATTATTTTGCTGAAAAATAGAGTTTTTTACTAATCAATGAGCCCGATTCAAGCGATTTAAATATTTGAAAATGCGATCAAAGAAGTAATTTGTAAAAGTATGCGAAAATTAATATAAATGTTTTTTATATCGTATCTTGATTTGTACGAATTCTCTAAGAAATTGCATATACTTTTGCAAAAATAATCTCCATAAACAATCTCGTAAACAGAAACGAGTTGAAAAATTAATTAGTATAAAATTTCGAATAAAGCAATAAAATTCGAAGCAACTTTGCCCATCTCTTTGTAAAAATATACTAAATATTCAAAGTTCGAATTAATCGAATCTTGAATTCTCTAACAAATTTCCTCGTAATATGAATTTGCATATACTTTTCCAATCTCCATAATCTCATAAATAGAAACGAATTAAAAAAATTATTTAATATATAAAATTTCGAATAAAGCAATAAAATTCGAAGCAACTTTGCCCATCTCTTTGTAAAAATATACTAAATATTCAAAGTTCGAATTAATCGAATCTTGATTCGTACGAATTCTCTAACAAATTTCCTCGTAATATGAATTTGCATATACTTTTCCAATCTCCACAAACAATCTCGTAAAACGAGTTAAAAAAATTAATTAATAAAAATTTCGAATAAAGTTATCTCGAGTAATAACATTGTTTAAAATTGCTCGAACGACATTTACTCGAATCAACGTTGCTCATCGTCGATAAATAATGTAATAATCGATCGATAAATGAAAAAAAAATAAATGCATACCAAAGAAGAATCCCATCCTTGACCTTCTCGTACAAGGTCTTCCCTTCGGGGTCTATTGGCAGCAGGTGTTTGAGGTCAGGATCGTGCGACAAATTCGTGTTTATCCAGTCGCTGAAGGCGAGCTGTTCCTCCAGTCTGACCGAATGCGTGGTCCCCTCGCTCGACGCTTCCGAGATCCCTCCCAACGTTTCCAAATTCTCCTTTTTCGAGACCACCTGCTTGAACGTGGATCCCAATTCGTTCGCCTTCAACTCCTTGCAAAGTTTCTCGAACTCCTCGAACGACAATCGACCCTTGTGCTCCGACCTCTGTTTGTCGTCGTACTCCTCGATCATCTGCCGCACCTTGTATCCGGGCATCTTGAAGCCGCAGATGTCCAACGCGCTTCGCAACTCCGTAAGGTTGATGAAACCGTCCCCATTCTCGTCGATCTAACAAAAATAAAGCCTCTTCAGATTATATTTTCTCCTTCTGAGGATGGTGACTGGCGAGAAGTGATTTCGAGGTGTCTGAAGGATTTTTTTTTAGGATCTTCGAAACCTTTGGATGCGGACGATGGATTTGATATTTGAGAAAATAGTTTTGATTCTGTGGAATTCATTTATTTATTTATTTTCGGATTCTTGAAATCTTCGAATTCGCTAGTTTAGGAGTTTAGGGTTTCGATTCTTCAGGATCAAATCTTTAAGTTTTCGGATTCTTGGAATCTTCTAATTCGCTGATTTAAAAGTGGGTTTCGATTTTTGAGAATTCAGGTGTATCATAGGATTCTGGAAATTTTTAAATGACGTTCTTGAGGATCAAATCTTTAAATTTTCGGATTCTTGGAAGCTTCTAATTCGCTGATTTAAAAGCGGGTTTCGATTTTTGAGAATTCAGGTGTAGCATAGGATTCTGGAAATTTTTAAATGCCGTTCTTGAGGATCAAATCTTTAAATTTTCGGATTCTTGGAAGCTTCTAATTCGCTGATTTAAAAGCGGGTTTCGATTTTTGAGAATTCAGGTGTATCATAGGATTCTGGAAATTTTTAAATGACGTTCTTGAGGATCAAATCTTTAAANTCGGATTCTTGGAATCTTCTAATTCGCTAATTTATGAGTGGGTTTCGATTTTTGAGAATTCAGATGTATCATAGGATTCTGGAAATTTTTAAACGACGTTCTTGAGGATCAAATCTTTAAATTTTCGGATTCTTGGAATCTTTTAATTCGCTAATTTATGAGTGGGTTTCGATTTTTGAGAATTCAGGTGTATCATAGGATTCTTGAAATTTTTAAATGACGTTCTTGAGGATCAAATCTTCAAATTTTCGGATTCTTGGAATCTTCTAATTCGTTAGTTTAGAAGTGGTTTCGATTCTTGAGGATTCAAAGTTTTCAGATTTTTGGAATCTTCGAATTTTAGGACAAGATTTCGATTCTTAAAAATTCAGGTGTATTGTAGGATTCTTGAAATTTTTAAATGACACTCTTGAGGATTCGAATGTTCTTGATTCTATAGGATTCAAATCTTCATTTATTTTCGGGTTCTTGGAATCTTCGAATTCGCTATTTCAGGAGAGGATTTCGATTCTTGAGGATTCATAAGAAATTCTCGAATAATACTAAAAATAAAAATGAAAAAATCTCCAAGATTGGAATAGAAATAACGTTGCTTTTTAAATTTCCATTCATCGAGTATCCAATTGTTGTCTAATTAATTTAAACTATTGTAACTTTCCAATTCGAATTAGCTCGGATTATTTGTTTAATCAGATTAATTCTATCTGATAATTCTAATCTAATGAAAATTCGATAACGGAATTACGGCGAAACAATTTCGGAAAAAAAAGTATCGCCTTAACTAGCGATCGCGAGGCGTATCGCATATGTGATCAACGGAGGGAAATGTTTTTTATCGCGCCTCTCTCGACCAATCATATCTAGTCTGTCTACAATAAAATTCTGCTCGCTAGTCTTTCGAGGAATGCAAGAATCGCGATTGTAAACGACGAACAATTTCCACGGAGAGAACAATACATCCGTGTCGGAATAATCGTCGGATGCGGTTTCTTGGAAAAACCTCGCATCGGGGTTAATCGACGGTTCATTGTGTTTCATTCACACAGAGAATCGTGTCGCAGCGGTCGATTAATATGCATTTATCTCTCTGAATCATTCGTAAGATTCGCCGTATTCTCCCTGCTTTACCATCGAGTAGTAAAAAAATTCCTTTTCAATCGTATCGCGTCGACGTGTATAAAACAGCGTGTATAAAAAGAGTTATTCGACGAGTTTTCAGTCTCACAATCGCGTTCGCCGATAAAAATTTCGAACGATTGATAAACCAAACGAATGAGTCACTCCGCTTCGTTTTCGAACACCTTTCATTCATACACTCTTCGTACGATACCCGAGTGGAAAGATCCGCGATTTTTTCTAAAAGCGACGAGTTCCACCACGTACGCATCTTTCACGCCCAATTTCCCGGATTAACCGATCTGATTGATCCGAAAAATCGCGAAACGATGAATCTTCTACTCACTAGGCTGAAGAAATCGGAGAAATCCTTGGAATATTCCTCGATAACGTCCCATTTTTCTATCTCGCGAAGTTCCATGATTGAGGAAGGCGAAACGAGAGGAGAACGCGATCAGTCGCGGTTACGATGCAACGACATACTGAAGATTGCATCTGTTCTTGTTTGTTATCACTGTTATCGTTCGATAAAAGGGAACGGTGAAGAAAAGAAATTCATACGATACCTTATCGACGCGGTGACATAATATCGTAGCGTTAAGTGACCGATTTTTCGATTGTTTGGAATTTTATTTGCATACAACAAATCACTCGNNNATCGATTTATTCGTTTTGAAAATTTGTTGAATGTTTCTCTTTTCTTTCTTTTCCT